AGGGAAAGAAATACAATGGAAGTCAGTGGGGACCATCAACTGTTTGATTACCAACATTCTTCAAAATATCTTCTTGTATGTTCAGCATAAGAAAGAAACTCATACAGGTTTGGAACGACATGAGGGTGACTAAATAATGACAAAAAAAAATCAAATTTTTGGGTGAACTATCCCTTTAAACTTTTTAATGACCCCTTGTAAAGGACCCCCTCTTAAAATACAAATGCAATTATATATATTTAAAACTATATACTGTGCATATGTTGTTTCATGGTATTTATGTTATACATCCAACCAAATGAAGAAAAAAAAACATTCTGGAAAATATTAATTAATTATTAATAAATATTGATAATTCACACCTATCTATTCCATTTTCCCAACAAATATTGTTTATTTGTTAAATTTTTTGTACACTTTTTAATGAAAATTTGCCCCTTTGAAACCCATGTCATACATGATATAGTTGATGGAATAATAATGTAGACATTTTTAAAGATTACATTTTTCATGTATTATTTACACATATTGTTTCATACATGTGACCCTGGACCACAAAACCGGTCTTAGGGGTCAATTTTTTGAAATTGAGATTTATACATAATCTGAAAGCCGGATAAATAAGCTTTCCATTAATGTATGGTTTGTTAGGATAGGGTTCAAAAAATCTAAATATTGAGAAATTCACCTTTAAAGTTGTCCAAATGAAGTTCTTAGCGACGCATATTACTAATCAAAAATTTATTTTTGATACACGGTGGAAAATGTAAAAAATATTTACTACACAAGTTGCAGGGGCTCATAAAAGAATGCATTGTTCTACATTTATTTTAAAATAATTAGTCGTCACAAAAGATTGAGTAGCTCTAATAGCCCCCATGGGATAGACATAAATCATTGATCCAAGTACTTGTACTTTCCATAATTAATTCCCTTTAGTTCTCAGAGCGCAAACATGACATCACACCACAATTAGTTCAAGCATAAAGACCTTTAAAAACATACTTGAGGAAATGTTATGCTTGCCTTTCTCCGTATCCTGTGGTCTCCTAGCAGCTGAAAGCACGAGTCGTCCGTGTGCTTATTCTCATATCATTGATCCCTTATAGACTGAATGGCCTCGTGTGAATCAGAAACCTCCCCTGACTCCACTGCAATGAGACAAGAGCAGCGTTGATGTGCAAAAAGTACTAAAATGGACATATTTTTCTTAATGCTCAGCAGACTAATCCATTCACAAGACCACTGTTGATCCATTATGGAACGACAAGGAAGATGTGATTGATTTTAGGCTTGTTATATGCACAACAGAGAGCTGATCTATGAGAAGTAAAGCATGAACCAAACAGAATTACTCTATTATTACAGTTCAGTACTTTTGTCTTGTTAATCAATCAGCGATTCAGTCAGTAGCACATGGTTATGAATATAATAAGGCCCAGTACTTGGTGTGGTGCTCCCCGGCTGCATAATTAACACATAATTTCCCAAAAGAATTAATGAGCAGGGTTTATTTAAGAATATAATAAGGCCCAGTACTTGGTGTGGTGCTCCCCGGCTGCAAAATTAACACATAATTTCCCAAAAGAATTAATGAGCAGGGTTTATTTAATAACTCAGACAGAAATGAAATTCCTGGCATTCGCAGAAGGGAAGAGAGGAGCAAACAGAATACATTCAAGCTCAAACAAGGCTTGCAGTAAGACAAAAAAAGCACTTTTCTAAATGTTTTTAAATTTGAGCCAATAAAAACAAGTATTAGAGAACAAACAAGAAGGGAATTTCAACATGTCTTCAACATTTCAACATTGTAAATTTGAAGAACATGATAATAAAAATATCTGAACTGATGAGAGTTTCATAGGCTCTCCATTTTGAGGCATTAATAAGCATTCAGGTCTTTAATTTGTGGAGAAATTATACAGGTCAAAGAGGGTCAGCGAAAGGTCACGTAGTGCACATTATAATTTTAAATAAATAAACATGGCTGCAAGTGGCAATCATCAGGGTCAAATCACCAATGCCTCAGGTGGACAAATTGGACTCCAGTGGCTCGTACCATGTATCTTTCCAAATACTGTGTATTTTTATGGCAAAGTCAGGGCTTGATGAAATAGCAAAAATAAATTATTCCAATAATCATCCGTCATTCACATTGAGGCAGATATATTTTGTATACAAAAAATAAAAACAAAGATATACATTTTGAAGTTTTTGACACAAGGAATTGTAGGAAATAAACAATTTTAAAGGGGTCATATGTTGCTGCTAAAAAGAACGTTATTTTGGTGTATTTGGTGTAATGAAATGTGTTTATGCGGTTTAAGGTTAAAAAAACATTATTTTCCACATACTGTACATTATTGTTTCTCTTTTATTGTTTCTTTGTGTGAACATTTGGGAGGCGTTATGCAAATCTTCCCACATTGTGAGGTAGACATGTGGGGGCGTGTTAGAACGAGCAGTTTTAGGTAGGTGTGGCTGACTCTTAACTTTTATAAAGAATATCTCTTTGGATTTGAGACTTTAGTCTTTGCAACTTTACAGATCTTCTTTATGCACCAAGAGCTTGTAACACTCCAAAGAGAAAGGAAAAAATTAAATCGCATCATATGACCCCTTTAAGCTAGCAAGCACTGAAGCAAAGTGAGGCTATTAGCAAAATTGTAAATGCGCGTATAGTGCCACAAAAGCTGCAGAAAGATACAAATTAAACAGTTCTTTTACAAGCTTTAATTATTAAAGCTATTAAAGTTATTCAGACAAAAACACTGAGTGATTCTGACTTTTCTTGACACAGACAGTAGCAGTTTTTTTAGGCCGCTGTCACTTTAAGACAGGCGATATTGACAAGTGATTTCCAACTTACCAGCTGTGTTTGCAAGAATACAAGAGGGCTTCTATTTTCTCATATTTCTTTGTCACTTTAAGGTGACATAAAATTGATAAAACTGCTATATTTACAACCCGCGATGTAAACGATGCAACAAATTATATCGTTAGTATTAAACATCATTGAATATGAATGTTATCGTTCGAAAGGACCACATGACGCATTCCATTCTCTTCGGCTTTTTTTGTATTCCATTCCGCGCAAGCCGTTATGACGTCACAATTTGCCTGTTACGGTATTTAAAGGCATGAAAATCACTTGCTCATTTTGTGGGTTGAAGTTTCGGAGTATTTGGTAGCCACTGTTAGCGACTGACAAACGGTGTTATCATGGGACTGCTTTGTACACATAAACACTACTGCAAAATTAGAACAAGCTAAAATATTATCCTATTTAACATGCAATACCCAAAGATAATAATCCAAAACAGGGATACAAACAGAGGTGAAGGAAACATTTCTCAGCCCCGCGTTCATCATGTCACGATGTTGTGAATTAATTCAAATGTCTAAAAACCACTTCTAAATGTCATAAAGAATGTTTGTTGAGAGTTTTTGTTTGAAGATGAGTCGTGGGAGAATAAAACACGTAATGTAGCTTAATGGACAAAGACAATGATATAAAAGAGCTGTAGACAGTTTATTCTATATGGAAAAACGCTTAACACAAAACTGTGCGTGTTGCGTTTATTCTGGGCTCGCTTGCTTGCCTGTATATTAGTTATGTATATTAATAATGTAGAGGAGCATATTGAGTTTGGCCTTTTTAGTCCATTATGCCACATTATGCCACGTTTTGCGGTATGGGAGGAAAATACTATATACATATTCATTATATTAATAAATTGTATATTTAATTTGATATTTTAATAGCATCTCAATACATTAAGCCATGTTGAGTGTTTATGTTTTTCTACCGGAGGAAAACGCTTAACGAGAGACTTTGTGCATTGCGTTCATATTCTGCTGTTCTTGTCTTTTTCTTGCAGGACCCTGTATGTTATAGTACTAAATTAGTTTTAATCATTTAATCACCACAGCGTCTTGTCTCCATTGGCAACACGCACGATTTGTGTCGACTGCAAGTGACGTCGCAGGTAGCGGAGAGTGCAAGTGGCGATTGCAAGTGACATTGTAATTTAGTTTCTTTTTTCTTGTCTTCACCACCTGGCTACTGTTGTAAAATGTTGAGAGATTCAAACAAAAAGTAATAAAAAATAGAACAAAATAAAAAATAAAGCCTGCAAGTGACGTCGCTAGCGGAAGCGCAAGTGTCTGAGAATGCAAGTCTGAGAATGCAAGTGCAAGGCTGCAGCCAGACCCTTCTCCCATCATGATGCAGAACGGGAACTTATGACCTGGCCAAAGCTGAGGAGAAATACGGGACAGAGGCGGGAACACACTGGAGAGATAGCGATGGTACAATCACATCAAATATTGACAAATCACTAAATCTTCAGTTACGGGAACTTCTGTTATTCCTCCTTTACATTATTAAAAAAAAATAATAATAATAATAATCACTGTCCCAAAACACTGCAGTAATTATCACAACAAACATTTTAGAGTAACAGTTTATATATCAGAAAGCTAAAGATTTTTTTTATGAGAATCTAAACTTTATTAGGTGTCATTACCAGAAACAAATAGATTTACATTGTTTAGATAAGTTTAATTTTTTGTATATCAATTCAAAACTGCCCCTAAATGAAGAACCACAATAATCTGATTATGTAATATTTTACTTATATTATTTATTTGATGTGATTCATATTATAACCCCAGCTCCTGAAGTCCTCCCTACTACTGAGGAACAGGAGAAACACAATGTCCTGGACAAGGGTAAGAATAATAAATTAATGAAAATTAGAAAATATTATAACTTATAAAAAAAAATCACATTATATATATATATATACATATATATATATATACTATTGTTTGTCTGTTAATAGGCCATATTCGCAGGCAGTATAAAATCGGCCGCAAGCTGGGTGAAGGAGGGTTTGGCCTTGTGTATGAAGGGACTCGCTGCAAGGATGGACTTAAGGTTTACATTTTTTGTTTTTTACTTACAAAACTTTGCATTCATTATTTATGACTGAAGTTTATGACTGTACTCAGCACGTGCTAATTGTTACTTCTTTGTTTTGTTGATCAGGTGGCTATAAAGTTTTCAATGAAGTCCATTTTCAACCATGCCATCTATCAGAGTGGTGGGTAGACTGCACTCTATGTTATTGCCTCTTAGTCATTGTTTTCAATTTATAAAATCTTATATTAATGTTAATCACAGACTACAAATAAGCTTTCAGTAGGCAAACTGTTTTGATTTGTGAACAATTTTCTTTCTTTTAGCCTGGTCATCCCAAACGTCTCCCCATAGAGATTGGCCTGATGCTCATGGCCAATAAGGGCCCCAGCGTTCCCCAGATCATTGAGCTGCTTGACTGGGAGGACAACACAGACCACTACGTGATGGTCATGGAGCGCCCTGTACCTTGCGTGGACTTGTTTAGTTTTGTGGATCACCATGGAGGAAGCCTTGACGAGGGGACGGCACGAAATATTATGCGGCAAGTCATTGATGCCGCTAAAACTTGCTGTGAGCGTGGAGTCTTCCATCGTGATTTAAAATTGGAGAACCTCCTGGTGAACCAGGACACCATGGAGGTCAAATTAATTGACTTCAGGTGCGGTGCGCTCATGAAGAATTCTGCCTTCAAATCCTTTAGTGGTATGTGTTATGAAGTGCTTTATTAATTATCTCACAGAAACACATCCCATATGCACTCAACAAGCTGCAGTAATGTATTAAACATCAGACATCTTTCCTGCAGGCACGAGAGCGTACTGTCCACCAGAGGTCAAAGCCAACGGCAGGTACCACGCAAAGCCGACGTTAGTGTGGACTCTTGGGATTCTCCTGTTCGCAATGGTGTGCGGCCATTTTCCCACAGACCTCGATCTGAACATGATCAGTGAGAACAACTGGATCAGACCTGGCCTGTCACAAGGTGAGATCTTCATCAAACAACAAAGAAGGACCATTTGAATTCTAAATCATACAAAAAAGACCTATGGCTTGACAGAGAGAAGGTGTAAAGTAAAAGTTAATAATCAAACATCTCTTCTTCTTTTTTTTTCACAGAATGCTGCCAGATGATTTGTGATTGTCTGCAGCCTGATCCACAATAAAGACTCATTCTAGAGAAGATGCATCTCCATGACTGGTTTAAGGTACAGAGTCTAAGACTAGTTAAGCTTTTTGTTGGTTAAGTTTGATCATCAGTCGCCATTAACTTAAAAATCACCTCTGTTTGTATCCCTGTTTTGGATTATTATCTTTGGGTATTGCATGTTAAATAGGATTATATTTTAGCTTGTTCTAATTTTGCAGTAGTGTTTATGTGTACAAAAATCAGTGCACAAAAATTTGTAAAGAAAGATTGTTTGTGGATGTGTGCAAGTGATTAATTGCATATCAGGCGTGCATACTAACTAGCCTATACCAGGACATTTTACATCTAAACCTAATCTCTCCCGTTAGCTGCCTGAAGAAACCTTCTTGTTTAAAGCAGGCACAGATTAACATCTGAGAGGCACACATAGCATGTATATAGTCCAACAGCACTGTGGCTTTTGGGTGAGCATTTTCAGCAGGTTACATTGACACACCAGTAGGTAGGGCTGTGTATCGGCAGGAATCTGGCGATACGATACGTACCACGATACAGGTGTTGCGATACGATATGTTGCGATACTGTAAGCAATGCGATATATTGGGATATTTCTTATTTTAGGAATATATATTTTTAGGAAAGCTGTCATAAAGAACACACCACCATATGCAAACCTTAGCAATAAATAAATAAAATAAATAAAAATTATTTAACCAGAACACAGTGGGATCTGCATTTGCAATAATCATTCCCTGTCCTGGATTCTTAAAGAAAACAAAACTATTTTAAAACAATAAAATAAATACTGATGTTGAACATTCTCAGAACCTTACTTGGATTTCACAGGTTTTTCAGTTTGTATTTATGTTCCGCGTTGAATCGCCGAGACCGTGACGCGAGCACCGCCCCAACTGTACAAAACGCCCCCCACCACGAGAGAAAGCTGCAGCCGCGCGGCGACCCTACCGCCAACCGCACCTCGCGCGAAGGCTCTTCACACGGGACGCGGCAAGCGGAGGAACCGAGGCAGCGCCCGCGCCACAGTCCCGGGGTGGACGTTAAAAGCCCAAATGACGCCACACTTCAGCTTTGTACACCAAAATGGGAACTGGAACAATTCTTTCATCCTCCATTAACTAGTGGAATGCCCTAATGCTAGTATTTCCTGTTACTGTTCAAGTTCAGAGATGAAGACTGCGATCTAGCAGTCGGGATATAAACTCGAAACAACTGCCATGAATCTTATATGATTTTTGTTTTTAAATATCGATATTCCGTTTTTGAGAATCGATACAGTATCGCCAAACAAAATATCGCGATACTCACGTGTATCGATCTTTTCTTAAACCCCTACCAGTAGGTGGCGACAAGTGACTGTCTTTATGAGATAGTCACTGAATCATGCACAGACCCGATTCATTTAGGGATAAAACAAAGGTTGAATTCATGAGTGAATTTTTGAAATATTCACTGAACAGTAACATTCAAAAACAGATTAATTCAGGAATGAAACAAATGATTGTCTTTATGAGAGAGTCACTGAATCATTCACTCAAAAGATTAATTAAAAACAGATTTATTCAGGAATCAGACAAGTGGTTGAATTTATGAGTTTTTTTATGAATTTATGAGTATTTTTGTCCCCATGAGAAAACATGCTTATAAATCATACAGCATGAATTTTCTTTGAAAATCTAAAAATGCAGAAAGTTTGGAGTGAGGGGTAGGGTTAAGGTCAGGGGACAGACAATACAATTTGTACAGTATAAAAACCATTACATCTATGGAATGTCTCCATAAAATGTGGAGATCCAATGTGTGTGTATTTTCTACAGAATAAAGAAAGTCATACAGGTTTGAAACGGCACAAGGGTGAATAAATCAACTCTCTTAACTCTCTTAGGCTGATGATACACTAGGCAAATATTTGAGCAATGTTGCCAACGGGCAACCAGGTGAGACACGGCCCACGACCGATCTAAAATATCCAGATAGACATTGGTTACCCATTCTCAATGGGAAAGTGGCCAGCAAAATTGCTCAAAATGTTGCCCCGTGTATCATCAGCCTTAGGTCATTGTGGCATCTTCCAATATCTAACAATTTAAGAATTAGTTTTGAGAAAATTATAAAATAGAGATTTTTTTTTATTTATAGGACTGAACTAATGAGAACATGTTGGATATTTTCTTGCATTAAGAACTGTCATAAATATAGCTTGCACACATCTTTGATTCCTGCAGCACAGTAATGTACTATATCTCTGAAAACCCAGTGATCTTCCTTTGAAGATAAATGACAGCCCTGCTCATTCTTTTGTCCACATCTTAATCATTTCCTTACATTTAGAGTGAATATTTTCAGTAGTTCCTGCATTCAATGCTACACATGGATGACAAGCACTGTCTACGCCACTGGAAGCCAAATTTATTCACATCTTTCTGCATAGCATTTCAGGCATCATGTTCAAAGCGCAGAGCAGCAGCACCCTACAGGTGTTTGAACATTTCTCTGAACAGTTCTGATGCTTTCATACTTGCACTGAATTATCTTACTGTGACTTTTAAAGCAATCAGTCACTTTGCCCCAGCTGCAGAAAATAGACCACAGAGTAGTGTCAGTGCTGAGTGCAGATACTGTACAGAGTAATTGTCAATGTGGGTGAAAAACAAGAAAATAGCCATCCTGCTGCTGAAGATTGAACCCTTTCTGAGCAAGGTTGGCAATGCAAAAGTGGAATCATTTTTTGATAGATTCAAAATTGAGCACTGATGAAAGCTTTCGGCCTTTAAGCTTTTAGTGATCACATAACCCTCCCAAATGTGAGTATATTGAACAAAAATAAGTCTGATGTGACGATAATAACAGACTATTGATCACAAACTCACTTGTGAGTTGAACTGCAAAAGTGGGACAGTTATTTTAAGTTGACAGCATATATTTGTTGCGATATAAACACTACAAAATTTTCACAACAATCTTATTCGATGAAAACTGACAAGAAGTTTGTTGAATTAAGTCTATGGATCCTTGTGATCTTTAAAAGGCAGCTCATTATGAAGCGGAACCCACTATATTTAGTTGTTCACTTTCACCCATTCGGCAAGTCAACAGTGAGAATAATTATGCCTACATTTCATAAAATAAACATTTTAAAAAACTCTTCACGTAAGCAGTGCCTAAAAACTGTCTCCACAGTGCCATGAAAGAACATTAATCTTACTTCAAAAGTTTCGCATGAAGACTTTGCTTATGAAGCAAATAACTGGACCACTTCCAATTGCTTGTGCACAGCAAAAGACTGACTCTCCCTTTGCAAATCAGTCATTTCAAGGTTAGTTTTAAGTGCTGCAATATAAAACATAAAAGACATTGAATTTCTATTGCCTCTACCTTCACTTGATTTACTATAAAACATGTAGGCCTAACATGCTTTCTATTTTTCTTGACTTCTCTGTTTGCAAAAATGAATGTCTTTTTAACATCATTAATGTTTATTTTGACATTTCGTATTGGCTCTATGTGAGGGAAGTAAGGTCATTTTAACATAAAATTCACTTTTTTGTTTCCTCAGCCATAAGGAAAGCGTTTTGCTATTGGTGTATTGGTGTACTAAAGGACTAAAGGTGTCTTAACACAGCTGTGTTAAGGCTGCTCTGTGCCTGCTCAAAATTCAGTGTAAAGACACAAGCCAGACTAAATTATGCCTGCTCTGACCCACCTCAGTCACTAGTATAAGTACACAGTTCATTGTAATTGCTGTGTAAATGCATTTATGCCACCTTTGTGCAGCAGTAAACAGTGTGAAGACATCTTAATGCCACTTCAGAAGCACTTCTAAACCACCTTTGCAGTGTACATTTAGCACAGTTTTCACATGTTCTAACCATAAGGGAATTACAAGTATGTGTCCATCTGATTTTTTTTCTAGGGTGTTGTCCTAAATATTCAATTTTGCACTTTCATCATTGGAGCTATTAGAAACCTAGGTGCATTTCAGAGCTGCGGTAACCATGGAGACTGCAGGATCCACTGATGTTAGCCCAATCCAGCCTCAGCAATGTCCTTTGAGAGCCAGCTTTATTCCTCAGGATTACACCGAGAGAGATTTTGGGATTTTCTTTTTATTATAGGAACATGGATACTCATTTTGTTTTGCTACTTTTAGACTTTTATGGTCTCTCTTGTACACTGTGTGCTAAATATTTTATGGATGTAATGTCTGTTACAAAAAAAGTACTAAAGAAAAAGTCTGAAAAATATCATACATGTCCCAAATTTTTTTTCTGTGCACTCGATGCTTGTTTTTTTCTGCACACAGCCTGTGACTATTATATGGCCCTTTTATGTATTTGTCTATATTGTCTATAAGGGTCTATATATATTTCTGCATTGACCTGGGTGATATATTAAATATTTTATTATGCTTTTCTGGTGAAATAAAACTATGCAGCATCATGAATTTTGCAATGATTTTAATACACATCTTAACTGCGGAGCTCCTCCTTACATGTATGAGAGCATAAAACATTTGAATAACATCTCTGCTTTAAACATCATTAGGAAAATTTGCATTAGAGTTTGTAAAATGGATTCATTTCCATTAATCAATATTTTAGGGTCTGTAAGATTGTTTAATGTTTTTGAAAGACGTTTCTTGTGCTCACCAAGGCTGTATTTATTTGATCACATTAGAAATAGCAATATTGTAAAAAAAAATTACAATTTAAAATTACTTTTCTACTTTGAAATCTTGAAAAATGTCATTTACGCTGGTCTTCAGTGTCACACGATCCTTTAGAAAACATGCTAATATGCTGATTTGTTGCTCAAGAAACATTTCTTGTTATTAGCAATTTGGAAAACAGTTGTGCTGCTTAATATTATTTTTGTTGATTGTTTTTCCAGGACTCTTTGATAAACAGAAAGTTCCAAATCAAATCTTTTGTGATATTATAAATGTCTATACTTAGGCATGCACATAAGTTTTTCAGTCTAGTTCTCATAAGAGCACCTGGAGATTTGGAGTGACCCATTAAAT